GTCAACGATCCTGGAAGCTAAATAAACCATTAAGTTTTCAAGTTAGCCTCCAGCCCTGTCTTCTCTGTTATTTTGCAAGACAGAAGAGAGAAATAACAGAAAAATGTACAGAATTTAACCCTACGCATAATCTGGGTATAAAGTCACATGAAGAGTACTCCAAGAAATTCATACTGCACAATCACGTTCTTTGAATTGATGTTGCTGCCTTTGAACTGAAAGAATTGAGTCTATCAACATTTAAAATGGCAACATTTTCCTTCAAGTGTGAAGAAAAATGTTGTCTATCTTCCAGCCTTGTACTGACACCTCATTAAAATGGCCACTAATCTTTTGGCCAAAAATAACAAAACAGATGAGTCAGCTTTTGCTTAAGAACTGCATTTGAATACAATCACCCCATCCCCACGACTAGATTAAGGCAACCTGTCACTAAGTCAGATTAACAGGGTTCCACTGTACAGGAGTGTAAAATTGTTTTAATGACAGGGACCAGAACATCCCAATCCAGGAAGTAGATTTAATGCAAGGGGATTCCCAAGAACTTGCTTTCTTCCTGATAGCCAAAAAGGAAAAAAGGTAACATGTTTTTCTTGTTCTCCCTTCCTGTACAAACTTGAGATCAACACAGTGAGTCAGGGACTTGTCTCATGTTGATTTTACTGAGGAAGCAAACAGGAGTGGGTGAGTGAGTAAGGGTTTTAGGTAGTATTTTAGGTAGTAATGACTGAGTTGGAACTGGTGAGAAGGAGGAGGAGGCATGAGATGGGGGTTGGGATAAGGGGAGCTATTGCTTACAGGTACATTTGTGAGGTGAGTGATTGAGCAGAAGTTGGTAGGCTGATAGAGAAGAGTGAATGAGTGTTGATTTCAGGAAGAAGTTGGTGAGAGAGGGTGTTGACTTTGTGACAGTCAGATTTGCCTTGAGAGACTGAGGAAGAGGGTGCATGTCTCGAAAAGTGATACTGGCAAGAGTAGAAGTAAGGGTTAAGGGGTGGGATTAAGGAGTGAGTGAGGACAGGAAAATGGCTCAATGCAGACTACATGAGCTAACTAATAAAAGCTTTAATCATTGCTTTGATAGTGAAGCTAGCTAGACTGCCTGATGTATACCTGGGTTGGTTAGCTGCTCAAACCATTGACTTTCATTATAACTGTCTCGTGCTGTTTGGAAACTGTAAAACTCAATCTCAAATGTTTTTTTCTCTTTTGACTAAGTTCTAATAAATTCAGGGCTTCAAATAACGGCCAGTCAACAGACAATGTCTGGTCAAAAATAGATTTTGTCTGGTCAAACCCTTAGATGGCAGGACAATTTGTCTGGTCATTTACACTGGTAAGGAAAAACTTTAGAGTTTCACATTTTAAATATTTAAAGGTTCAAAAAGGCATTTGTGAAAAAGGAGGGAAAAAAGGCGGATGCTTAACGATCAGACCAAGAACTTTTAATAAATGATTCATAATAGTCATAAAATTTCCAGCTATCTTTGCAAATTTGCGCACAAATGTGATACTGATTTTGCTGTACAATGCATTCCACTTTTCCTGCATTGAGATCGATGCTCATGTACAATAAACACTCTGAAAATTTACTTGTTTCATATTTAAACATCATGTGAAGGGGGGAGGGGGCACTTTTGTAGGGATAAGACATAATTGATGTTTGTCAGGCCAGAAATGGGATATGTCCAAGCAAAAATAGGTTTGACGGGACAATTTGACCAGTGCCAGCCAGGAAATTATTTGAAGCGCTAAAATTAAGCGGTAATTTTACCACTGACAGGTTTTAGAGCTTTTAAAGAAAGCTTGGCAGAGGAGGCTCATTTTCACCATTGGTACATCTTCTACAACTGGGGAAGAAGACACGGTGGTTTGGAATGAGATTCATCACAAAACAGAAGCATTTTCAAACCATATGGGTCATGGCTATCCTGACCCTAACTATTTGGACAATGTCCTTGCTGAGCTGGCAGCACAAGGTGTGGAATCTGATGATGGTTAAGAGGAAATATCAGTGAGGATTCAAAGTCTTAAAAATTCGAGGGAACTTTAGAGGAAATTGTGTACTGTAAATTAAGTTATTTCAGTATTTAGCAGCTATGAAATGTTCATAGGAATAGACTATAGAGAAGGTGTTTGTGTTTTGTTAATGGTTTCTAGGATGGAAACATTTCTGGGCTTAACTTTTGTCCATGCATCTAGGTGCCTTGATCTTGTAGACTAGAGAGACTACATCAGTCTATTGTGACATAGAGAGTGTAAGCAGAACTCACATTTTGCTTGCTTTCTATAACATCCTAGAGAGATCTGAAAATAACAGGCCTCATTACTTTAAAAAATAAAAATAAATATCTTAATTGACCACTCCCCCAATGGGGCTTGTCCAGGTCAATGAAAGCAAATGATGAAACAAATAATTCAAATGAACATAACATGGTTAAAAATCCCAACTGGGGGGAAGCAGAACAGTTGCCTATTTCCAAGCATGACCGAGGAGTTGAACTAGGGTCTATCAAGAAACAACTCTAGCTTTGTGGTCAGAGGGGGACTTGAACACAAGACCTCTAGATTTTAAGTCTGGTGCCCTGACCACTCAGCCACGTTGCCTCCTTAAATTGTCCTTTCAGATTTAGCAGCCACTTGCTTCCCATCACTACTTTCAGAGATTCACAACTGTTCAAGAGTTCATTACATTTAAGTAGCTTAAACATGTGCCACACGTAGGGCCCTGATCTATATTAACAAGGTGAAAATGTTTTCAATAAAATTCAGTCACAGTGAGGAATCACAACAGAGCATTATCTGGCCTTTGGATTGTCACCTAAACAAGCATCAGTTCAGTTTGGAATATTTTATTGGATCTGTTATCCTACTATCCAGGTGCATCTAAGTCTTTAAAGGTCACTATTTTCTTAGTTTTATTATGTTTGGACGGTCACTATTTGAAACCATGAAATTTTATTACTATCTCTGAGGGTCATCATTTTGGGAGGTCGTTATTTTTGGAACTACATGTTATCTCAGTACTTGGCAGGAGGTTCTTATAATAGTTGCTTTACGCAACTACTATGTTGATGCAAAGGTGTAAAGTTTCCTATAATTGAAATTTTCCATGCATATTTGGCAGTGTATTTGGATGAGGCTAGCAGGGCAGGAAAAAACCCAGGTCTGATTGTGGTCTTACACTGCAAGCCTTCTATGAATTCAGAAGCCACGTAAATAAGATGGTAAACAACATGGAAGTACTAGTGAAACACTGACCTCCAAAGGAAACTTCAAGAAAAAAAATTAAAACACCCCATTGTTAAGACATTCCAAACGGCTCTTCTCAGAACTTCCACAAAAACAAAAGTCTTGGTCTACATTCACTTTGATTCGTTGCCTTGTTTTGTCGATGGAAAATTTGGAAAGGAAATAACATCCTTATCGTGGATTTCCATGATACACATTTAACCGACTTGTAGCCCATGGAAAACCCCAGGTAGCTTACAAGCCTTGAAACCTGAAAGAAAAGGCCAGAAAGGAAAGGAAAGGCAGCTGTCCCAACTGATTACCATGGGGTCTTCGGTGCGCAACGATACTTCAGTTCAGTAGCAGATACAAATGGTACACTAACACGGTACTACTTTAGGTAGCAACTCTTAGTAAGAAACCACTTGACGACCTACAGAGCCCTGGTTGGGCATCTAATAACACAGAGAGACATAAAAGGTAGGAACCTTTATTTAGGAGTTTTGGAAATCACGCCAACAGCATTATTTTGTAATGTTTTCTCTCAAGTGTTGTTGCCCGAATCATGAGCGTTTTACCCAAAAAATTATGTAATTTCCATAGCCAGGGGGGCTGCAGCCCCCAGTCACCCCCCACCCCCCCTTCCCAGCTCGTACACCTATGTACGCATTTGTCCTCTGATTTTCATATTGGCCGCCACATCAGCAAGTAAGGGAAAACTGAATTTGCTGGCCCACTGGGCAAGTGGATTTCAATTTTTTTTCCTGCCCTTTTCTTACTTACTGCAACTCTCTATGGTCAGAGACAAGAGACTGATAAGAATTAAGCAACAGAGCACCTTTTCCATGTTTACATAGCCTCATCTAAACACAAGGAATTTTGGGAGTACATGAGACAGTTAGGCAAATCTGCAACGTAGTTGAGGGTTTGCATAACTTTCAAGAATAACTCAAATACGTTTCCCGATTGGAGGAGAACGTGTCACGTGGCAAAATTCAACAACTCCCTGGGGTGAACAATACTAACTCCTGAGGGAAACAACAACTTGAACTTTAGACTCGCACGTGATCAGGTCGTGCTCCTTGAAACTGTGGCAAATTTGTGAGCCAGCTGGCGTCAAGCAAATGATTTCTGCGCGGTGTTTTTCTATTTTTAAGCTGGGAGGTAGAACAAAACACTTAATGACTGGCCCAGTGGGAAACAGTGAGTTTTGTTTCCCTATTAAGGGTCTCAGGGAAACAAAACTCACTGTTTCCCTTGCTTATTGTTTTTCTTTCCCGAGAAGCACAATTTTTGACTGGTTAATAGTGACTGTTTCTTTAAAGATTAGCCCTGGGGTGCATTCCATTATGCCAAAGATTTTGGTTGCAAGGTCCTTTTCAGTTCCTTCTGACTGGAATATTCAAGACCACCTCTGGAGGTGGAGGAATGTGGTTTATCGAGTCAAATCTGAGCCTGAGTCAATCAAACATAGTTGATCCAAACAGAACATGGTCAAATAGTTGTCAACTGTTTCAACCAAAGTACTCTTGAAATACTTCAAAGAAATCAAATGAAACTGGTTTTAGTTGAAACAGTTGGTTCCAGTAGCTCACAACCTGAGTTTATAATGTTGCATTTAAGGCTGGTTTTCACTAGCGACGGAGTTGTAGTCGGAGTCGTAATCAGAAGCACCAATTCTGCTTATAACTCTGACGCTTGTGATCCAGTGAAAACTGCATTGTCGGAGTCTCAAGCAGAAGCGGAAGAATAAACCTATCACAATGTTCAATTGCAAGCCTTGTGATTGGTTGGTTCTTCCACTTCTGCTTCGGACTCTGACAATCTAGTTTTCACTAGATCATAAGCGACAGTCATAAACGGAATCGGAAGAAATGGAAACGTTCTGATTCTTCCGTCTCCAATTTCATCAAGCTTATGACTCCGCTTACGACTGCGATTTTCGATTTTCACTAGGTCATAAGTGCTCTTACAACTCCGACTACGATTCTGACTATGACTCCGTCGCTAGTGAAAACCAGCCTTTATTGGTACACATAATAACTTAATTTACAATAAATAATATGAAATAGCTAAAAATGTTACAAGATCTCCCATGTTTTTATGACATCATTTGCTTTTTCTTCACTTGGCCATGCATTGTGGTGGGAACATAAATGCGAGTGCTTCCCTTTCAACCATAGTGAGCTCTGGATGCCAGAGATCCAACATAAGAACAACTCTTTCCCCATCCGTTCCCTTGTGCCACGCTTCGTGGAGGAAGGAATCATCAAACAACAAAAGCTCTCCCTCCTTCCATCTCCTTTCCTCTCCGTCCACGCACAAAACACATCCCTTGGGTACAAACAAAGGTAAGTGACACCTTATCCTACAGTTTGTTGGGCCATAGTGAGCCGTTATGTGCGTCCCAGCTTGAAGAATCGAGAACAAAACATTACCAAACGAGCATCCCTTCAGCAGGGGTACAACAGATTCGATTATATCCATAGTTTTTGGACATGTACTACAGTTGTTTTCAACTTTTTCTCCTTGATTAATCAGATGATAAACTGACCATTCCCCTTGGAGGGTTGAATTTTTAAACCACCCCTCACTTGCGCGAAATCGAATCTGTTGAAATTCTGATTTTATCGATTCAAAATTCGCTGACGAAAGTAAAGAACTTAGTTGTGCAGAGTAGTAATTATGCCAAGGTTTAGTGCCAAGACCATCAAGGTAAAATACTGTAGGTTTTTGGGCAGGTAATAGATCGGTCCCGTCCTCTTGTGTCCCGCAGTATTCAATTCCATTATACAACCGTTCAAGTCCGGCTCTATCTCCTCTTACACGTACAAATTCGTCCAACTTCTTCGACACGACTTCAGTTGATGCAGCCTCTTTTCTGTGAGAACATCGAAGGCACTCGGGAGATGAACAAAAATTCGTATCATCCGAGCCTGAGTGACGTCTATAGCCTTGATGACTGAACATTTTAGTCAACAACGTTACAATCAGCAATACCGCCAAAGCTACGAGACCCTTAAAAAAGAAATTATACACAAACGAATAGCTTTGTAAAAGAAAATTGTCCACGTCCGCCATGTTTGTTTTGGTGAGATCTAGTTCCAGTCCCTTCTCTGATCAAAATCAGCCAATGCGCAATTTGCATTTTAGGCTAGCGAATGTCGTAGTCTGTAGTGCGCCGAAATCTTATTGTATGAAGATGCGCGTAACAGAGTCAACGAGATCGTGTTTTAGGGGAGAACGCTGCAATTTGGGCAAGGTCGAATCCAGTGAAAGAGCGAATTCTACTCAGATCTACTCAAGTGCACTTACTCAACGAGGGCGCGCGTATTTTAGATCGTTTATGACGTCACAAAGTAGACAGAAACTTTTCCAGTAAGTGACGGCTATTACTTTCATTATCTCCTATTAAGTCTTTGTAATAGGAGTTAGAAACACGTTCCAACTATGGAGTCATGTAATTCATCTTTTCTTCTGAACGATCTGCCAGATTCGATTATATTGCAAATATTTTGTAAATTCACCATGAAAGAACGTCTACTGCTGCGACGAGTGTGTTGGAAGTGGTGCCATCTTCTCGAGGATTACAGTCTTTGGAAGAGTATTGATCTCAGTGAAGACAGCTTTCTGTCCAGCAAAGTGAACAATACCATTCTGGAAAGATGGATTACTTCATGGGGTAAAACAATTCAGCACATTGACGTAAGTGATTGCAAATGGCTCACGGATGTAGTCATTAAAAAAGTTGCGCAAAATTGCGTCGATCTCCGTAGCCTGAGCATCGAAGGTTGTTTTCAAGTGTCAGACACAGGAATGAACGAGATAGCCAGGAACTGCACTCGTTTAAAAAGCCTGAACGTTTTCCTCAGCGGGGTTTCGGAGGAGGGATTTGAACGACTTCTACAGCAGTGCCGCGACTTAGATACTCTTAAATTGGGGAGCCGAGGGAATTGCCACCGTATGATAGTTTCTGTGTGTGGTAATGTGAAGGATTTGAAAGTAATTTCAATCCACGATGTTATTCCATTTGATGAGAGTGAACCAGTGGTAGATGATCTCTCCTTGTGGAAACTATGCACGAGCTTCCCTGGGCTGACCGCCATTGATCTGACGTGGTGTTGCTTTATAACCGACGATGCCCTTTTTGCACTTCCTTTCTGCTGTCCTGGCCTCACCTCCTTCACTGTTCGGGAATGTCATCAGATTTCAGATCGCGGCATTCGTGCAGTCTTCCAAATTTGCCATGTAAACTTGTCGACGGTTCATCTAGAGCGCCTTTACAACGTTACAGACGTTTTGACTCTCGTACCCGAAGATCTTAATCAATTTCCCAGCCTCTCTTACCTAAAAGTAATTGACACATCCATCTCCGACATCGGCATTGCGAAGATTGCCGAGAAGAGTCCGAACTTGGAAACCCTTATCGTCGGAGAACATTGCTTCAATCCCTACAACGTTCACGGAGGATTCATCCCTTCTATTGTAGAAACTTGTCAGAAATTGAAGCGGTTTAAATTGTATTCAGGGAGAATGAAAGACAGCTACTTGACTGCTATCGGTGAAAATTTATCTTTTATAACTGATCTTTACCTTGGTGATTGCCGCGACTGTACTTCAAAAGGCCTGGACACGATTATAACGCGCTGCCGCTGGTTACAGATATTACATATTCAAAACTGTGCCCACGTGACCAGTGATACGTTGGTTATTATTTCGGAGAATCTCAGGAACCTCAGAGAATTGGAAATTCTCAATTGTAGACGTATCACTACCTTAGACGTGTTAGAGCTAAAGAGAAAATTACCAATGTGTGACGTCAGGTATTAACCCTACTCCCAGCTGGCGATTTATTCGGAGGATACATTCTTCTAAGAAGACTCTTGTGCTCATCATAAGTTGCGATAGGAGAATCTACTCTTCTATCAAGGCAACTTCAAGGTAATCTCAAAGTCACGCAGATCAGCTTAGGTCGAATATTGCGACTTCCTCATGCGGAGAGATTCTATATGCTAATCAGGAAACCTCTGTGGCGCTTTACAGTTCTTACGTTCCCATGACAACTGCGTTCAAAAGGTGCCAGAAATACCAAATACAAAATGCAATGCTTGTATTGAACGTGGAGTTGAGAAGAAGAATTGGCGACACTTACCTGGTCTCAAAAGTCTAACTAAACGAAAGAAAACTTCCACCACCGCCTCTAAGATTTCCAGTACACCTTTCTTTCGTCTCTTAACCTAGATATGCACGAGGGAAGAGTTCGATTTCTATAAATTGTACTGAATTTGTCCTCGTTTTTTGTAATAAAGAAGAGATATGTTTGGTAATATTTCGAAAAACTAAGCCCTTGTTTAATACGAAAATGTTTGTGTCAACACACCCAAACCCGAAAGTTCTCTCTCCCTTCCTTGTCGCTGTTTCCTCCGAAAAGCCTACTGCTCAGGTCATACGTTTAACAAGATGAAATAAGGCTCATGTTTTGGGTCACAAATTGAGCGTTAGGTTGAAGACGCAGATCACCATTTAACTTTTACTCATCTTTGGAGGCACGGTGACCTCGTGGTTAGTGTGATCGTCTTCGGTCGAGCGGTCTGGGTTCAAGCCCTGGCCGCGGACATTGTGTTGTGTTCTTGTGCAAGACACTTTACTCTCACAATGTGTCTCTCAACCCAGGTGTATAAATGGGTACCGGCGAACTTAATGGCAGGGGGTAACCCTGCGATGGACTAGCATCCCATCCAGGGGGGAGTATAAATACTCCTTATCGCTTCATGCTACAAAACCCGGGATAAGCTTAGGCCTGATGGGCCACTTGGCTTGGCTCGTATGCAGACTTTTACCATCTTTGTTTCGCAAATAATTAATTACTTGAACTAAGCTAATTTCTTGATCTGCAACCAATTAGTCCTGACCTGTTAATGCAATTCAGGGATCTAATCAGGGATTCCAGACTGAACGTTCTCAGTTTAATAAGTAAGTCAGATATAGAAGCTAACTACATAAAACAGGACCAAGAAACACACGCTGAAGGCGCAACCGCTTACTGGAGCCCAGGCTACGTCCACAGTGGTGGTACTTAGGTTCTCTGGGACAAAATAGGAAGACCGCCTTGAGGATGTGGTTGAAAGACAAATTGAACACTGGACTGGTAATTCGCGGCTCCTGTGAAATGTAGTCAATCTTCTAGCCGGAGTAATTAAAGAATACACCCTGCAAGGGACAATCTCCGAGCTAATTTTAATCACAAATTTGGAGCTGGAAGGGAAGAGTATTTCGGAATCATTTTTTTGACATGTTGTCGATCCAGATATTTGTCCTACCTGTGAGTCCTTGTTTTATTATCGTTTAACAGGTAGCATTTGTCATGCAGGTGAATGAAAACAGGCTAAATGCCATGTAATCACGCTCTGAGATGCTTCAAAAATAAAAGCTAACCAGTGTCGGGAAAATGAAACTATACCACGTGACAATCGACGTAACCTGCCACATTTTACGGTCGCGCATCAAACGAAGTTTTACACTGATCTTGACATCCGCGCCTTGGCTTTTTCAACTTTGTTTCAATCGCTCGAATTTATAACCGCTTCAGTTCAATACCCATTTTAATAGTATGGTGGTTTACTCATCATAATTTTGTTAGCTTTGAAGGTTGCCAGACTCCATTGAAATTTCATTTAAAAGGGATGAACCATTAACTGTTTGAGGGGAGGGTGGCAATATTTTCTGAGCATTTTTCTTGCGTTGTTCGCTTTACACATTTTGTTTATCTTTTGCGTATTTTTTTGCGGGGGGGTTTATTTGCACAACTCCCCTCCCCCCCTCAGTATAATAGTCCGGTTTAGGTTTCCTAACACTTAGCTCCGAAAAAATCGTAGAAAAAAACCCGAAACTTAAATTTCCTAGGACAAAACATAGTTTTGCGGTGGAGTTACCGCGAATGACGGGCGAAGAAGGATGAAGATTATTTATTTCTCCACAAAGCGTTATTCATTAGGCGTGCGCTTGTTTCCTAAAATAAAAGCAAGCCTTTACTTAACCTCCCAATAAGCTTTCTCAACTAGTATTACAAAATTATTAAATTTCCTTATAGCTTTGAATATATATAGGAACATTAAAATTTTGGAATACAAAAGCAAAAACCGACACAACGTAGGATGATTTTTTGACGGTGTACTATATTTCGGCTGGCCAAACCAGCCTTCTTCAGGTACCTGAAGAAGGCTGGTTTGGCCAACCGAAATATAGTACACCTTCAAAAATCACTCGAATGTTAACCTCCTTTACATCAAGAGCCAGTCTAATGTAAATATAGATAACACAATGGTAGGAGCAAGATACCTTCGTTAAAACATGTGTCTGTACACGAGTTTCCAGGACGTGCGATGGTTATTTGTAAGTCGCCCTTTTGAAGAGGCCAGTGGTAAGATTTGTCACAAAAATCCTGTCAGTGAGAATGCAACATCAACCTTTCAGTTTTTTAGTATTGTTAGAAAACAACACAGGGTTGAAGCCGGAAGAAATGATTTTAAGGCTCGAAAACCATATTTGGGAGAAGAGAAGGCAAGTACAAGATGAAAGACAGCTCATAACAAGCATACCGTTGAAACAAACTAAGAAACGATTTCCGTTACAGATTTTAAAGCAGCTGTTTCTTATCGTTACTTTTGGAGGTTGGTGACGTTTGCTAACTGTGAAACCATCCACACGCTGGTACATGAAATACGAGACTAGACATCAGAAGGCTTGTTTATGCAAAAAATACAGCAATAAACAGACCAAAAAGATAGAACCAGCATCTCCGCAGTAGAAAAATCGCTGCATTGGTAACTGATTTGACGTGACGTCCCTTCTTTTGGAGGGTCGTTAATTAGCCAGTTAGGTAAAAACCTTACCAAACCCTTCCCCGTAATTGGTTAGTCAAGCCAT